TATGACAACATAATACAACACAGTATAGACACAATGTGAAGGGAATTATTTGTGACTATATCCCAGGATTATGTCAGCACAGCTAGAGTTCAGGTCTCCACTCCTTAAAATAATATGGATAAAGGAATACAGTAAAAGGGCTAATATTTTAATAAATTATATTTGTAACTATAATGACAGGAATATTCACAACATTCATTTTTATGAATGAATCACCCCAAATTTGTTGCTCCCTACCTATCCATGTTTGTTCATTGGTTACTTAGATTTCATAAAGTAGCTTCCCTAAGAAATGATAGATATGTGGAATTCAGAGAAACATAGAAAGATACATATGAACTAATGCAGAACAAAGAAAGTAAAGTCAAGAGAACAGTATGTGCATGATAACAATACAAATTAAAATATTAAAGAGGTTAGAACTCAGATTAAACTCAGAGACCAAAGATGATACACCCTTCCCTGCTCTAAACAGTAGTGAGATGGAAATGATGACTGGTGCTGACTGTCATGTACAATGTCAAATGCAGTGGATACAACCATTTTTTCCCTTTTCTTTTTTTTTCTGGCTCAATTGTTCTTCTTTTTTACGAAGAGAAGGGGAATTGGAAAGTAAAAGTTTAAAAAAGCATCAATATTCAGTTCTTTGCCACCACAAAGAGAGCTGCTAAAAATATTTTAGAACACAGGTTCTTTTCTTTTTTGCCTAATCATCTTGGGAAACAGACCTAGTAATGGTATGGCTGGGTCAAAGGGTATAGGAAGTTTAATCATTCCTTGGGCATAATTTGAGATTGGTCTCCAAAACAGTTGGCTCATTTCACAGCCCCACCAACAGCGAATTAGTGTCCCAGTTTTTCCATGTCCCCTGTAACATCTATTGCTTTCCCTTTCAATAATTTTAGCCAATCTGATAGGTATAAAATGATATCTCAAGGTTGTTTTAATTTGCATTTCTCTTATCAATAATGATTTAAAGCATTTTTTTCATATGACTATAAATCATTTTGATTTCTTCATCTGAAAACTGCCTGTTCATATCCTTTGATCATTTCTTAATTGGGGAATGACTTGTATTCTCATAGATCTGACACAGTTCTTTATATATTTGAAATATGAGACCTTTATCTGAGAATGTGTCCATAAAATTTTCCCCCAATTTCCTGTTTTCTTTCTGATCGTGGCAATATTTGTTTTATGTGTACAAAATCTTTTTAATTTGATGTAACTGAAATTATCCATTTTATACCTCACACTGCTCTGTCTTGTGTTTATTCATAAATTGTTCATCTATCCATAAGTCTTACAGGTAATATAGTCTATGTTCTTTAAATTTTCTTGTAATATCTCTTTATAACTAGGTCATGTATCCAGTTTGATCTTATCTTGATAAATGGTGTAAAATGTTGGTCTATGCCCAGTTTTTGGCAGACTGTTTTTCCAACAATTTTAACCAGATAATGAAATCTTATCCCCAAAACTTAAGTCTTTAATGTGAAAATATGTTTAATATGAATATACATGTATAGCCTATATCAGATTGCATGGCATCTTGGGGAGGAGTAGAAAATTTAGAACTCAAAATCTTATGTTGAAAACTAAAAATAAATTAATTTTAAAAACTTAAACCTTTATATTTGTCAAATACAATGTTATTATATTTATTTGCTTCTGTAAATTGTATGTCTACTCTCCCCATCAACTGGGGGATGGCTGAACAAGTTGTGTTATATGATTGTGATGGAATACTACTGTGCCATAAGAAATGATGAGCTTGATGATCTCAGAAAAACATGGATAGATTTGCACAAGATAACGGAGAGAAATAAGCAGAACCAAGACAACATATATAGTACCAATAAAATTGTTTTAAGAACAACTTTAAGTGACTGTCATTTTGACTATTATAAATACCCAAACTAACTGCAAAAGATATATGAAGGAAGACGTTATCTGTATCCAGAGAAAGAAGTAATAAAGTACGTATAGAATGATTTTGCACATATATATATACACACACATATATGTATATATACATACACACATGTATGTATATATGTATGCATGTATGTATACATTTGTGTCTAATGGTAGACATCTCTAGGACAAGGGGGCAGGGAAAAAAAAGAAAAAAGATAATTTTATTGTATATTTAAAAGGAATAGAAAGTTGCACACAATAGATTTGCAGTTTCACATGCAAGCATATTTTTTCTATTCTACTATGCTATGAAAATGCTTGTTTTATTTCTTAAGTTCAGAATAAAATAAATTTTTTAAATGCATCAATAATACCTTCTTTTTTTAAAAAAAGTAGTTTGCTTATCTAATTCCCAGTTAATTTAAGGCATAACCCACTTTTATCAACAATCTTTCCTTTCCACCCTCTAATGAAATTTTTGTGCTACAAAAGGGGAAAAACCCTAAACAACCTACTTCATGGAATATTTTCCAACTACATTAATAAATATGTTAATCTCAAAAGGCATCACAGACAGAAAATCTGATATTAGTGATATACTAAACGCTTTTTTATCTAGGTTATTATTTTATCTCAACACTGCCTTCTCATTTTTCTTTGCCCTTAATATTATGTTCTCAAAAATATGGATGTCAAAATGTTCCTCTAAGGTAAAAATGTGTCTGCATTTCCTAATAGAAAACTTTTTGAAAGAAGAGTAATATAGTGGGGGAAATGAAGCATAGTGAAATAAATCCTGGGTTAAGACAGGAGACTGGGTTGTTGCTTTGATTCTGGCATTAATTGGCTGAAAATAAAAGCAACGAATATTTACTGAGCTCTGACTTTGTGTAAAATATTTTAAAAGGAGCAATGTAGAGTAGTGGAAAATGTCCAGTTAGGCATCAGGAAACCTGAGCTCAAGTACCAGGTCTACCACTAATTAGTTGCATGATCATGGGCAAGTCATAGTATAATCTGAAGAATGAGGGAAATAAAGGCAGGAAAACAAGTTCCATTCATATTGCAGTAGTCTAGGTCTAGGAGGATAATTAATCTGACCTACCATAGTAGAAATGGGAATAGAAAACAAAGGACTGATATGAAAAGAGTTTTGAAGGGTGAATTAATTAAACTTGGTGAGAGTAGCTAGACATGAGAATGAAGAGTAGAAAAGACTAAGATTCTGAGTCTGTGGAAAAGAAACAGGGTAGCTTCAGAGGAGGATAAAATGGAGAATTTAATTTTAGAACTATTCAATAGGAGGAACATGGGCTACCTAAAGGAAACAGCCATAAAGTAGCTGGAGAGATGCCTGATTGGAACTCAAGAGAGAATAGCCCTGAAGACAGGGAGTCACTTAACATTTCTGGGCCTCAGTTTCCTCCCTGTGTATAAAAGGAGGTTAGATTAGATCATCTTTAAGGTCCTTTCCAGCTCTCAGACTCTGATTCTATAAATAGCTGCTGAGGTAGATAACAATGTGGAAAAACTAAAGCAGGCGCCAGAGGTGTTTGCAAGGCAGATTCTTCCCTGACTAATAAAGAAACCCTTAGGGACTGCCACACTTATCACTCCCCTAACTTCTAAACCCTGTAGTTCTCACTTTCACCAACACCAACAGCAGCAGCCCCAACTCCACACTGCATGTATATTCTTTAAAAATAATTTTTTAAAAAACCCTACTTTTTCATTATTGGTTAAAATCTGTAGCTTAAAATAGAAGCTTTGGACTGCTTATGGTAGCATTGCTAAAAATGTTGTTGTTTTGCTTAGGACATTTGAAAAATTATCCCTCTTTTTAGCACCTCACAATACAACTTTTCCTTCCAAAGAATTCAGAAAAAATTTAAATACGTGCTTAATAAAAACAGCCATACTCACATCAAAACCAGTTACTATTTATTCAACCTGAAACCTTGGGGGGGGGAATGGAATCTAACAAACCAGGGTGTTTTATTAACCCAAAGTGCTCGTTTCAAGCACTTCACAAAAGATTCACGAGCACGAACAAGCACTGGCTTTGCTTGAATGACCTTCTAGACGAGACAACCATTGATCAAAATTTAAATTCCTGATTTTATTGCCCAATTCTTAGAGTTTGAGTCTTATTTTTAAAATACAGCAAAATTTTCTATTTTAGAGTAACAGTTAGTAGAAATTCAGATAGTTCAAGAACCACTTTGTAGGTTTCCAGCTATTTGTGGGTACCACTAGAGGGCAACAGAGGGTTCTTAGCAACCAGTCACTGTTCAGGAACACTGCATCTTCTTTTGGCTACTACTACATTCAACGCACAAACCAGTTTCCATTTTTAAATGTATTATATCATTAAATACTTACTATTATACCAAACCTAATATTTTCAATGCAAAACATTCCTAATTTAAAATTGTTAAGTATTACTATGTTCATTCCGGCATTTCATTTTACAAAAAATATTTATCCAAATGCCAATTTGCAATGGTAAACTACAGTGATTAGACTGTCCTTAAGGAAAACGTGGTTTACTTTTGAAGAGAAATCCTCAAGCAAATTTTATTACTTCCCCTTTCTCAAACCTACTATAAATAGCAGAAATTATAAAATGTGTTTCCAATGCATAATTTTCAGCTCCTAGTAAAGTTAATAAAACAAAATTTCTGCCTCCAAGAAGTAATAATAATCAAAATTTAACTTTTAAAGCCAAAAATATAAAGTCACAAAACATATGGTAAACAGTGTAACTGATGACAAAACAGTAAACTATTATGCAGTCAATAAATATTTCTTAAGTGTTCTTCTCTATCTCTCAGCTATCCTGGCTTGCTTCAAATTCCTACTAAAATCTCACCTTCTAAAGGAAGCCTTTTCAAATCTTTTTTAATCCTGGTGCCTTTTCTGTGTTAATTATCATTTATTTATACTGTTCACAGCTTATCTGTCCACATTCGTTTGCTTTATGGTCTCCCTTATTAGATTGTAAGCTCCCTAAAGTCAGAAGCTGTCACATACAAGAAATGACAAGCATCAGTCTTTAATAAAAATATCTTTTTACCTACCTTTGTGCTCAATCTTTCACAACTGAGAAATGAATGAACTTCATGTGGTTCCTTTAGGTAATAAAAAAGGAATTCTGTTAAACTGGTGTACACAAAAAATGCATGCCAAATCTCATCGAATAAGATTCCCCAGGAAATAGGAATCAAGAAGGTGGCACATTTTAAGATCAGTCAATCAAGAAATATATATTAAATGCCTACTGTATGCAAGGCAGCAAGGAGAATATAACATTAAACTCAGAGTTTACAATCTAGTCTGCAGAAACAAGACATAAAGGCACAATAGGTTAATGAAAAATTACAACAACAAATGGCAAAAGGCAACATAAGGCATCCACCAAATAATCCTATACATGAGTGGCTAGGATCCCAGGCATGTCCTGAACAGTTTAGAGAAATCATAAGGTAGCTGAACAAGTCCTGAGGCCAAGGAGAAAGAAGTTAAGAGGCACATTGTAATTTCTACGAGGAGGAAAGGAGTTTACACTTCCCCACTCCTAGACACAAAGCCATGTCAAAACAAAATGTAGAAAGAGGAAAAAATGCATCTCTGGCATTCTCCTAGCTTCTCACATTCTGAAAAAAGCCTAAGAATATTGGGGGCCTAGTGAGAAAAGTACTAAGTCCCTCACTGTAGCATCTTGCCTATCAAATGGCTTCTTCTCAGTCTCTCTTGCTAATTGATTTAGATAATGTTTTAAGGTTTGCAAAGCACTTTAAAAACAATTTATTTTATCCTCACAACAACCCTGAGAACATGTGCTATTATTATTCCCATCTTACAGCTGAGGAAAATAGGGTTGGCAGAAGTTCAGTGACTTGCCTAGGGTCACATAGGTAGTGTCTGAGGCCAGATTTGTGGTTGAATCTTTTTTACACTTGGATGCTACATGACCTAGATCCCCATGGCTCTGTACAAGAACCACTTTTCTTCTCTAATATTTCTCTTGGGGATTTTATCAGCTTCCATGGGTTTAATTATCATCTCTCTGCAGATGGTCCTTAGAGCTATCCAAACAACTCCAGTCTCTCCCCCGAGCTTTAGTCCCATGTCACCAGCTTCCTACTGGACATTTCAAGCTGGAGGTACCAGAAACATCACAAATTCAACATGTCCAAAACAGAACCAATGGCATCTTCTTCAAACCAATCACCCTTACAAAATTCCCTGCTTCTGCCAAAAGGTACCACTGTTCTTCCAGTTTCTCAAGTTTTTAACCCTGATGACACAATCAGATATATGTGGTATGAGCGCACGTGTGTGTGCACATGCACATGGGTACTCTGTGTGTGCATATGCACATGTGTACTCTGTGTGTGCACATGCATACAGTGGATGTGTATGTGTGTATGTATGTACATATATGTGTGTGTGCGTGTATGTGCGTATGTATGTATATACAGCCAGCAACCAAATCTTGCTGTTTCTACTTCCACATTGCTCACATCTGGTCTCTTATCAGTCACATAGCTACCACTTTACTTCAGGATCTCATCACCTTTTGCCTAAATTATTTTAAGAGTCTCATATTCAGTCTCTCTGCCTCAAGTCTTTCCCCACTCTGGTCTATCTTATATACAGCTGCCAAAGGTATTTTCTTAATCACAGATGTGACTGTTACTTTCCTATTCAAATGCAAGTGACACTGCATCAAAAAGAAACTTGTCTGTTTAGGTCTTAAAACCCTTAACAACCTGGCTACAATATATCTGTCTAGCCTCAATGAGCATCACTTCTCCTTCCCCAATCCAAACTGTCCTTCTCTCTCTTCCTCACACACAATACTCTATCTCCCTATTGAAGCCTTTGCATTGACTCTTCCCTCATATATACTTGGGACACACTCCCTCTTCACCTCTGCCTCACAGAATCCCTCTATTCCTCTCAAGACAGTTCAAACATACAACTTTCCACATAAATCTCTTCCAAAAGCCCCTAAGAGCTAGTATCTCCCCTCCCAAACTACACTGTATTTCACTTTGTATTATACTTAGTATTTATTTTCATCATATTCATTTTGTATTCAATCATATAAGTCCTTGTCATCTCCCCCCATCAGAATACAATCTCTTAAGAGTAAGAATTGTTTTATTCTGTTATTTCTGTTACCAGAGTCTAACACAGTGCCTGGAATATAGTAAGCACTTAATAAATGTCTATATTTGGTTGACTAATTCTTACCAAGGCAGCCTTAGCCTCACTTCAAGCTATTCCAAAACGATACACCTTTCCAATCAAAACTTTTATTTCTTCAATGTAGGAAATAACTTAGCTATATGTTAGGATTAAAGCAATCTGTTTAAACTAATTCATATTACTGTATAAATTACTGTTAACCCTCTAATGGTTCTGTAACTTTTCTGAAAGGTTGCTTCTTACCTTAAATTAATCTTAATGGGTATAGCTACACAGGAATAGAAAAAACTGAAATGGAAACATTTAGGCAATGTCAGCAATGCTAGGAAAAGGGAGAAGGGCACAAGGCAGGAAATCCAGGCACACCCGGGAATCTGACCCAGGGTCATTTCCACAAGTTGTTTCAAGGCTTTTCACATTTTCTTTTCCTTCCTTCAATTCAAGATCCTAAGGTTTTCTAAAATCCTTGCCAGGTTCTGGAGGGCCATGGATGGGCAAAGTTTGAACACAATGAAACAAAGATAGAAGGAAGGTAACAATGTAACAAGTCACATCTCATCTCTTCCAGTTTCATTTCTCTTCACTGGTCAGACTTTCAGCTCTATCTGCTTGCTCCTTGCCTCTTCATTATCTCACATCTTTGGAAAGAAATACAACCAAGGAAGTTTGTTTGTTTTTTTAACTTGCATTCCTCAAAAAAAAAAATCCAAGTTCAGAGACATATCCTATTCAACTTTATGTCTGCATTGGTCTTAAAAGGATCCATCATCTCATCAAGTCTACAAGCATTTATTAAGATAGAATATGGGTCAAAACACATGAAATATAGACTAAAAGGCAGTATGATATAGAGTGGAGAGAGCACTGGATTTGGAGTAAGGAAGACATGGGTTTGAATACCATCTAAATTTCTTTTCTTCATCCATAAAATGGGGATTCAAAACCAGGTCTTCCTGGATCCAAGTCCAGTGTACTATCATATTTTGACCTATAATCTGCCTCAATAAATTATTGTGATGATCAAATGAGATAATGTATATAAAATGGCTTCATAAACATTAAAACATTATATAAATGTCACTTTTATTGTTATTACTAAGGCAAATTATCTGACAGAAACCTCTTGTTAAAATGAAAAGGTGGCCTTATGGAAAATGTAGAAGATCTGATAAAATAGGCAAAAAAAAAATCTGATATCTTCTACCAATTTGAAAGCAGCAGAAAATATTCATCCTAAATGCAAGCAGAGATAGAGTTGCTACCATTAACTCTAACTTTTGAAAACAACCCTAGGCACAGCTACACTTTGCAACTGAAGAGCAACCTTAAGAAGGCCCAAAGTTATACAAGGGTGGTAGGTCAATATTTCAACTTGTGAATCTCATTTAGTGGGGTAGGTGAGATCCTATTAAAACAATGGCTCCATATAAACTTATTTCTTTGTTATAATAGCCTATAGATAAAAGCTTAGCTATGCAAGTTTTTAAAAAAAAATCCACTCTACAAGAAATTGTACTATACCAACAAATGTAGCTCTGTCTTTATAACAATTTCATTCTGGAATGGAGAGCTATCTATAAGTAAAGATGGTGAATTCAAATATACTTCTCTTATCCCTTTAAATTAACTATCTCACAATTCTGATCAACATTAAGATTTCTGGTGAGAGAAAAAAAATTCATGATAGCTCAGAAATAAAGAAGATAAGAAATCTTATTAAAGAAAAAGAGGGCAAATTAAATTAAATTAAGGCAAAAGGAAAACCTTTCTGGGGAGAATGCCAGCTGAATGGCAAAGAAGAACATCCAAAATCCATGGGCAGGTGAAAAAAGTGACTGTATGAATGAATAAAAAAGGGAAGGCCCAAAATCATTCATTCACTCATGTATTTACCAAGTACTCACTACGTATAAAACACAAGACTAGGTAGTTAGGGTAACACAAAATATATCTAACATAAAGTCCTTATCTTCCAGGAACAACCAATTGTGGGGGGGGGGGGACAAGACAAACACAAAGTTGAACAAAAATGGACAGTAGGTTGTGATTTCATGACAAAATAATGGATATTAACAACAAGTAACAGAAATTCAGGACAGGGAAAAGACTGATAAGAAAAATAGGAAGAGTCCACAAGGCAGGTGAGCTGGAGCCAATCAAGAATCATTTATTAAATGCCTCCTTTGTGTCTATGTCTTCCAAGGGCTTAAAGTCTAGTTGAAAGGAAAATAAAAATAAGGGATGGTAGGATTTAAACAAGAGACCTTATAAACCAGCTAGTCTAAATCATTTTTATTGTACAAACAGGGCAACTGAGGCTAAGAAAGATAAAGTAGATTGCCACAGGACACATGAGTCATAAAGCAACAGAGCCAGGATATGAACCCGGGTTGTCTAACTACATCCATTGATCCTTCTAATGTTCCACGATGCCACATAACAATTATTTAAAAACAAAACATGGGCACTTTCGAATAACTGTAAAATGTATTAAAAGATACAGAGTACAAGAAGCCTCAGAAGCAGGCACTGGTTTCTAAACAGTCAAAATTCTTCTTTAGGAACTTCTCATACCAAGGAAATCACAGGTCCATTTCCTGTGTCCACCTCTGACTTTGAAGATAATGATAGACAATGATTAGTAGGACTTATCTGTCAGATATGTCTACACAGGGACACAAAGGTGTTTAATAAATGATCCTTGGTTGACTCTAGCTCACCTCCACTGCTGACTCTCTTTTCTCATCCATCTCTCCTTACTCTATATTCCTTGTCAATATCCCTCATTTTGTCATATCATCACAATGTACTGTGCAATTTTATTTCCAAAAGGTAAAATTCATGACACATAAGGTTTGCAAGTTACCGAATTATTTCAGATCCTCCAGAAAATGATATACTAAACAGAATTATACCTTTGGTCAACAACTATTTGAACTAGCAACCTTAAAAACGAATATTAGAGGAAGCCCTCCTTAGACACTCCTCCTCCATTATGACATGCCTTGTACTATAGCATAGTACAAACTATGCTCAAATTTTAAATTCTCTAAATTTGACCAGATATTTCATAGGATGGCCGAAAAGGTAGCTGACAGGGACAACAATGATTATAATGACCATGCCATTCACAGATATTTGGGGCAGCTATTGCTGCTTCTGCCATTCTATTATCAAGGCACTAAAGGGATACTTCAGAATGGATCCAATAATCAGAACCCCATTACTGAATTCCAAGCTTTGCCAATGATTCTCCAAATATCTGAAGAAAAATTTGATTTATGGGATTTCCAGGTGACCCTGAACAGATAAAAATCATAACTGATACAAAATTTGTTAAAAGCATTTCAATTTCTCAAAAAGAGTACAGGTTTTAAGAAGAATAATTTTAATATAGCCATCTACCTTATCTTTGTCTTCAACAACATCTGCCAGTATATCATCTGGGTCCAATATTCCTCCATCCATGTACTCCAAGTGGTGAATTTTCACCCAGTCACCAGGATCCTACAGGAAAAAGTCGAGTTTTTTTAAAAGGTTTTTTAATATACACATTTTAAATTTAACATCCAAAAATATTTTAAGTGTTCTTAAGAAGGCATATGCAGTTAACTGAATCCAAAAATATTTGGCCTTTCACATCCTAACTTAATCATTTAAGAAAAGATGATTAACAAAAGTTATATGGAAGTAATGATCTATTAGTTATGAGATCATAACTAATTTCTCCAGATATCTAAAATATGTATTCCAGAGAAATTTTCTATAATCTCTTACAATTTAACCAAGTGTACTTTCCAAAAAGGAAGGTCTTAGGGCAATATTCCTGAAACTTGCTATTAGGATCCCCAGCAAGGTGACAATGATATCCTAAGAAGGGTTCTAGAGCCTAGAGTTCCAGAGTGCTGCAGAGTTACATGGTGGGGTGGCAGTAAGTTACAAAATGTATATAAATGGAGTGAATTCAGCTCCAGCAACTCTTAGAACCTATCTCTACATTTCCTCCTGCAATTTCAAGATTCATCATGACATTAAAAATAGTCCTAAGAGCTATTCAGAAGAGACTGAAGAAAGAGGGTCCATATTTTCTAAAGTGGGGAAAAAAATAACACAAAAATGCCTCCAAAGCTCTCTTGTGGCAGGGGAGGAAAAAAATTTAAGAATAACTAACTAGACAGCCTCTCTCCAACATAGGACAGAATACTGTATAGAACATAGGTTTGCTTGCAAAACTCAATTCTTTTATCTACAAATTGACCAGATATTTTTCAAAAATTTTAAAAGCTTAATTAAGGGAGTGATTTGTTACAAAGAAGTATTAGGATTTGGTAAACTTTTTTAAACAAAATAGTTCAGGGGGGCAGTGGGGCGCCACAGTGGATAGAGCACCAGCCCTGGAGTCAGGAGGACCTGAGTTCAAATCCAGCCTCAGACACATAACACTTACTAGCTGTGTGACCCTGGGCAAGTCACTTAACCCCACTGCCTAGCCAAAAACAAAAAAAATTAATTCAAAGCAAAGCAAGTCAGAATAGTTAAAATAAAGTCTCGTCATTTGTAACTATCTCCATTCCATTTATGCTCTGTCATTTCATACATTTCCCATTTCACCATGAGCAGGAATGAATAAGCTAGTGAGAAAGAGATATTTAATCCTGAATGGCAACAAAAAAGTAACATATATGCACATGTTCTGTTAATGTTTTACACATTGAAAAAAGAAAATTCAATAACATTTCATACATAGCAAACATAATGACTTTCATAATATGCATGTGCATATATGCACATTTATATGTTATATGCAAATAATACAGTCAATCTTCAACTTTCACAAGTTTAACCTTCAAAACTTCAGGCACTCACACGATTTCACTAATAAATTTACTTTCAATTTCTCATTGGCAACTATACACATTATGCAGAGTAGAGGGGGGAAAAATGAGATGCACTGCATGCAAATTTGTGAAGCAGCCAGTATCATAGTATGCACTTCACTGGTTGCATTCAACTTACCATTGTAAAGAGCTTCCAAGTACTCATTTCATATTTCCATTGTTTGCCTTTTAAAATCAGGTTTTATATTGAAATTATGCCTCTAAAACACAGTGATGGTTCTCTGGGCTCTAAGCCCAAGCGAGCAAAGTCAGTGATTGCAGCTTATGAGGAAATAAAGATGTTAGATAAACTATGTGCCACAATGTCTGCAGCCACTGTTGGCCTAATTGACCAGTTGGCTAGAGACAGTGAGGCTGCCAATTCCATTGGCAAAAGTCACTAAGAAATTATTTCAAGTTGGTACATCCTTCATGGTGTCTAACACCGAGTTACCAGGTGAGAAGGACTGAGTGGTATAGATGCTATCAAGACTTCCCCAGTCTCAGAGTCTTCCAACATCAGTGACTAAAAACTCAACAACTTCTACTTTGGTTTTCAAAGGGCCACCAAGGTAGTTTTACAGCATTTTAGTATACAACACGAAGTCCTCACACCACCATTTGATAAATACAATGGAAGGTAAGATTCAGGTTAAAAATGTTTTAGTTTTGAGAATTTTATTTGCTGTATAGTATTTGTGGTATTGTAGATTTCAAGTATTATAAAAAGTGAATATTGTCTGAAATAAATTTTTATTGAAATGTTAGCATGATTACTAGCAAGAAAAAATGTTTTACATGTTAACAATTTTATTTTGTATACTACATTTTGTGGGTTATTTCATGGTTACTGTTTAGGAAAAGTGTCTATTATAAGAATTAATGTTTTGTTATCTTAAAGAATTACATGCAGAAAAGTATATTTTCAGAAATCTCTTGTGAAAAATTGCAGTTTTGGGTGGTCGTAGGAACCTAACCTCCTATTTCCCATAGGTTCAATCTATCAACATTTGCTTTTTCTTTTAACTCTTCCACTGTTTTCTAAGAATGCTACCCCTGCAAATGTTGAGGACTGACTGTAAATACAATATTAAAAGAATGAATTAAAATAAGAAACACAAATGTTACCTTGACTTTTATGTCTATAAAATTTTTAAATCATTACATTCAATACTTTGCATTTAATTTCTTTGTTTTAATATCTGAAAAGAAGAAAACTGATCAAACACACTGTTCAAGTATGCCTCATTTCACATATTCAGTCACTGGAAAAAAGCCTACAACATTCGTTCAAAAAGGCAGATGGAATACTCTACTTACATCTCATGTCTAGCCATGATACTTATAGAATTTAAATTATTATTTTTGGTAGTATTTCTTGTAGATAAGAGTTACTTTTCAATGTTGTAAATCTTGATAGTCATACTGAAAGTACTTTTTAAGAATAAGGGAATAAACTCTGATGCATTTTGTTCTTTCCTTCCAAGTATATGCTTTCCCAACATTTTCAGCAAGTTAATTTATACACAGTTGCCATTAAGAAATAATTAATTCATACCCAGATGGAAATTTTAAAATTAAATTTATATCAAACTATGTTAATAAGACAGGGGAGATAGCTAAATACAGAAACATACATCACAGAGGGGGGAAAGTATCAATATGTTACTAAATGACATGCAAAAGTCATTCTAAATAGACACTTGTATCTATAACTACCAATAGTTCTAATTATAGGTAAATGGCACATTAAATTTAAGGAATTAGAGATTTACCTTGATCTAAGCTTTACAATTTGGTATAATTTTCAAGAATCAACATTTCACTGAGCTTATGGATAATTAGCAACTAACCAAAAGAAAAATATAAATATTCAGAAGAACAGGGTTCTGGTAGTCATAAAAAGGGTGTAACAAAGGAATTCCTATGGAACATTCCTATGATGCAGAGAATCATAAGAATGATTGTCACTGGGTAGAAAGGAATCAGAGAAATTTCCAAAGCACCACAAAGAAAATGTTAACTTCTAGATGAGGGCTCCAGTTTTCTACCGGCATTTTGCTACTACCAGTGTACTACAATATTCTTTATGTTCCTTGTTTGACTCTTTCATTCTTTTACCACACTGTTCAGGAGTTTGATTTAAAAACTTCATTTTACATATGACTTTTTTTAGAATATAGCCATTTCAAAAAGATATACCAAAAATCTGCCTTAAAATGACATCCTTAATATAGAAACATTTTAAATAAAATTTTAAAGCATTACTTAAATGTAAATTCAAAAAATATTACTCTTACGCCATATCATCATGGTATGGAAGAAACCCTGGCTTCTCAAAAGCTATGTCAGTGGGTCAAACTGCTTTGAATGTAGCCCTAACAATAGTCTGATTGTTTTCTCCAAACCAGCCAAGCTAAATATGGAAAGGTTCATAACCAATGAGCTGACTGCTTATTAATGAATTCTTTGGCCATAGGAACCCATTAAAAAAAGAAAAACACAAAACGGACCTGAGATTCATATGCACACTTAACCTAATCCAGTTGCATTTTCCATCTTTGTTCTCTTTAATGCTATGTCTACCATTGCTATGTTTCTTCCTTTGAACATTTATGTCTGGGAAGTTCAATATCCTTTTCAACCACTCTGCCAATATCATCATAGAAGGACGCCATACTCTGTAACCCACATATTCTACTACTACACATGTACTCCAAGAAGGTAAGCGCTTTAAGACGAAAAGAGAATACTCACATAAAGCAAAACATCTATAGTAGCAATTCTGTGGCAGCAAAGAACGAAGCACAAAGTTAGTGCTCATTAATTAGGAAATGGCTAAACAAACTGCGGTACATGGATGGAATAGAATAATAACATGCTGTAAGAAACAACAACTGTAATGAATCACTGTTTGTTGTTGCTGTTCATTCTTTGTTGTTGAAGAGGACCAATGACAGCAGGAGGGTGATGTCTTGACTTGCAAGTGAACTGGATTTAAGTGAGGCCTGAACTGAGCCTCACTTAAAACGAAGTGAGCAGAGCCAAGACAACAATATATACAATATGTACAATTACAACAACTCAAATTGCAAAAATTATCACAAAACAACTGAAAATAAATGCTATAAAATTACAAAGAACACACATGGCTTCAAAGATTAGGGGTGAGAAAACAATTTCCTCCTACTCCTTCACAGAAATGAGAGGTTCATGTGTGTAGAACATTTGCATATACAGTCATTTTTTTAACGTGCTCATAAGTTTTGTTGAATTTTCCCCTCTTCTTTATCTTTCTTTAAAAAAAACAATTTTTTGTTATATGGGATATACCTCTGGAAGGGAGTAGTGAAAAGGATGCAGGCAGAAAATTAGGTGACATAGAAACAAAAGACATCAATAAAATGTACTTTTTAAAAAATCTACTTTCTCTTTTATGAAAAAATTTCACTAGAATCATCACAAGACAAACCAAGAGAAAACACATTAAGGGTATTACTAGGGTACAGGAGAGCTTTTGTAAGGAATATTATACACTAGACCACATATTTAATATCATGTTTATAACTGAATGAAAAATGTAGCAATAACTACTTCCTTTATGTTGTACAAACTGCAAACTGTACAAAC